TTGAACTTTTTGCACCGATTTTGCTAGCAAGCCTAGGCGGTCTCAGGGTGGTTGGTTTATTTGACAAGAGCCATGGCCTAGCGAGCACTCGCGACAGCTTTTGCTGGGATAACCGGCCTTTGCGTTTTCCGCTACTTGGGAGTATTTATTTCATTACCTACAACCCTAGAGTTGTACGTCGGCCCCCGGTGGGCAACGCACAAGTCAGCCCACAAGTTCAACTCCGATGACGTGTTTGAAGTTTGAACTTTTTGCAGCCATTCTGCTTGCAAGACGAAGGTCTCCCGACTGCTAGTCTTATTGAATCATGGGCAAGCGAGGGACCCCCGCCGATGCCACGGTCTCCAAGCGGGTGAAAGGCAAAACATCGGATCCGTCCGCAGTCTTGGCGCCAGCCCACCCAACGCTACAGTTCTTGCAGGACTGAGGCCTTGTTATGCTTGTTCTCAAACCTCCAAGAAATTACTTGATAGAATTTCGCAGGAGATCTACCCTCTTCTCAAGCCGTACTTCCTCTCCATCAGCCCGCCTGTGGCCTTCGGCGGTCTCCAGCCGTACGATGCGAAAGAGTGGAGTTCGGTTTTGTCCGAGGCCAACGAGTACACGTGTTTGGTTGATGGTCTTTGGATCAAAGAGATGAGCTTCGTCCACAAGTTTCCCCCCGGTCTCGGTCAGATCGAGAACGTTTGCAGCCACCTCAAGACCCAAAGTGATGATGATAAGCCGCTAATCCTGCCCCCAATCGGGGTCGCGGCCGTCTGTGGAGGATCTCCCCCGCAGCGGGAGACAGGTCTGCAGATGATGTCCAATGAGCATGTGTGGTATGGGTTTCTCATGTACTTCGCCGAGAAGATCAGGTCTAAGGAAGGAAAACTTGTGAAAAAATGCACGGAGGTCTTGCGTCGCATTCCCGTGGTCTTTCACTTGTGTCCTTTGACAGCACTTGGTGCAATTTGTTCGATCATGTCAAATTTGTGCCACCCACTTCTTCTTACTAAGGTGCAGACGAAGAGGATGTGCAGCGCAAAAAATGGTTCTTGGACTCCAAGACGGACGTCCTGGCCTCCAACACGACTTTGAAAGGGTGGAAGAGAATCATGGGCTACGCTGAAATCAGGTCTAGCCTGCAGGGCAGGAACAGACCCGCGGATGGTATGGCAATCGAGGCCTGGTTGCTGAAGGCTGGTCTAATCGTTTCTGCCAAAACCGTGTCAACGCTCCTGCGATGCTTTGATCGGGTCTCTGCAGCGGGCGAGAAGACACTTTTGTGTTTGGAGAAAATGGACTCGGTCTATGCTGGCAAGGTTGCACACTTTTTCAGCATGACAAGCGTGCTTTCAACTCTTTGCGAGCGCACGGCCTGCCCCAAGCACCCGTAACTTGGCTGCGTTTGTACTCGCGGTCTCCAAGCGGGTCTTTGTTTGGGCTTCGGCTGCTTTGCTGCGAGGAATGTCCAGGACTCTTTGCTGGAATGGTGTGTGCATGGTCTCACTTACCGGTCTGTGAACCCGGACAATGGTCGATGCCGGCACCTGCCTCCTGGGTCTACCCGAGACTCTCAGTCGCACTTAGGTCTCAGCGACACCTTGTGCTGCTGTAGTAGGTCTGCTCAGCCAGCACAGGACGTGGTCTTGACCCAGATCGGGTACGAGCTGGCGGTCAGGAGAATCGTGCAGTACGTCACCAGCAAGATTCGCCAGGTCTATGGCACGAAACTCGGAGAGCATTTCCTGGACTTTGGCCTTTGGGAGGAAGAGCGGTCTGCAGGACGATCTGAGAGAAGGTCTCAACTCTTGAAGACGTGCGGGCCTCC